GGGGGGGGTGTAGCGAAAGCGTTTCAAAAGTCACGGGCACATACTTTTATTTATTCTAGATTAAAGCAAAAAAGGAGAATAAATGTGGACAGTTTTGCGTTACCTTTTCGGAGTGTTCCTGATGAGTTCTGTGAAGTTTCGAAAGTAAGAGGGCGAGATGTTGATTATGGTTTCATTTTCTGTGAAGTCTGTAATTCCTATTTCTGGGGCTGTCAGCAATGATGTCACGAACCGCATGAAGTCGAATTCTCCCTGTTTTGTTTTGTTCGTTGTTTTGTTTTCAAACAAACACAAAAGATGAACAGAACTTAATGTTCAGTGTTAGATGGAGATCGTAAAATTTTCATATAAAGGAATTGTAAGGAGAGATAATGCAGACTTGATTAGAGAGTAAGACCAAGAGACATAACTACTTTCTAAATAACGATATCATAAAATCAAACTTAGAATGAAGAAACATTTAGTGTAACTGACCTCTCTTCCCTCTGCTATTAAAAAATGTGGTTTCTATATCAACTTTAAAAAACAACAACTAAAAACAGGGAATAATTCCAGATGTGGATCGTATTTTGATACTGCCTTGGACTCCCAGTATCAATGATAGAAACTGTATATATGAAGTTAAATAACATTAAAATAATATGAACAACAAATCTGGTATTTCTACTACAAACTCGCCCTATTCCATTCGTTGATTCCTGCAGAAATGCGTTTGTGGATGATCAAGATTTTAGATTAATTTTAAGGCAAGTTATGAAGCGTTTATCTGAAAGGCAAGTTTCTTTAAGTATATTATTTCGCAAAATTTTATTTTGTTTAAACTGCAAACATTGCGTTTGCGATCAGTCTTACAAGCTGGGTGTACATTGTTTTAGAGAGTGTACAAGCTTTTAAATAAATTTTCTTCATCCTCTTTTCAGGGTGTTGATGATTGGAAATAACTGCAAAAACAGGGGCTTCAGCAGCTCAACAAATGTGGTGTTCGACTGTCAACTAGGGGCCTGAGGTTCGATCGCCGTCAGCATTGTTTTGTTTTTCCCCCGTATTTTCTACCCCACCTGTCGTAGGGTTCGAAAGATAGAACACTTAATCTTCTAGGATAAGAAAGAAAATCTCAGAGGTCCGATGTGAAAGAGTTGCCTTTTAGAGATCCCTTGGTGGCTCTGAAAGGACCACCGTCCAGGCGAAATTCCAAATAAACTCCTCCCCATAACCTGCAGTCACTGATGTCAGTATATTTTATTGATTAAAGTTCCCTCGAAAATCTGATGAGGCTGCTTGACAGATAAGGGATGATTTTTCGCTCTTTGAGCATAAAACATCCATGTAGGCTACATAAAAAAACTGCACTGTGAAGTGGACATCTCAAATCCAATTACTCACTGAGCTCAAGCTGAAGAAAACTGCCAAAATTATTCCAGCCGTAATCGATGTGCAGTATAGCACTATGCGCAGTCACAGAGGTAGTAATGTACTCACCGTACTGTAGTTTCCATGGACTTCTGCCAAGGTCATGGGGTTGTACAGGGCTTCTGCGTCCCGCCTCTCCTCGGAAGGGACCAAAATCTGGGGAAAGGTGTGTACTTGAGAAATAGGCATTCTATTCGACATTTAATAATTGAACAGTAAAAGTTAAAATTTTTATGAAGTACAATTTAAGGGGAAAAGCTATTGAAATTGTTCATCTCCTTAGATTCTGCATAATCAGCATTTTCAAGGGAAATAGTTTAATATTTGAATTTGATGAAATTATTATACATCGACAGTTGAGAAGTATATTATGTAATGGTTAACTCAAAATTTAGGAGACTGAAACAATTCTAAGGCTTGTTCATGTTACAAGAAATCTTTTTGTTATTAGTAAGATCATCTACTACTATAATACAAAACATTTGTCAACACACAAAAAACTGTATGTTTCCATTAGTTTGGTTGGACCTGCTTATTCTGTGTGCCATATTGAAAGAACGCTAACATTTTGTGGAAGGGGGGGAGTGGATAAAAAACACCAACAAAAACTACAAACAATGATGTTGACGAAATGTTGCAATATAGTTGTAAAGACATCATGCGAAATTTGAACCCTTTTAAAAATGTGGAAGTCTTAGTATTTTTTGTACAAAACTCTTACTAAAATCAGAAAAATTGCGTAATCCGTAAAAATAGTTTAAGAAGAAAAGAAAAATTTGCATTATAATAATATTCCTCTCAGTTTCCCAGGAATGATGGTTCTATCCATTTTAATCCCTATCAAGTACCTTCGATTACAATGAGTCAGTTATAACCGCAAACATTGTGAACGATCATGTAAAAAAAAAAAAATTGGTAGCACCTTGCTCGTTGTAAAGAAACAATAATTCATTATTAGTCTCAGACTGTCTATTAAATATTGGTTGACCAAACGTTTATTCTTCAACTTGTATTCTTATTTACTTCCATAACTCAAATCAAACAGTTTGTCCTCTGTCTCTGGTCCGAAATCCAAATGCACCAATGTGACTTCATTGATGCTATTTGTGAAATCAAATAAAACTATAACCCTTCAGAACCATTTTGCTGCGCACATAGTACTTAGGAATATTTAGCTCGATGGCTAAAGTACACAGGTCAGTAGCTTCACGGTATTGCTTGCCTTGTATTTTACAAACTGTATAATATTATAGCTGGGACCATTCATTTCTACTCAGTTTGGGGTTAATTTCTTCCAACAGTAGTGTAAAAATAATGAGTAGCTGATGCTGAAAATTTGAATGACAGAATGAGTTACATACAAAGGAGACGGCGTGCTGTATACTTATAGTAATAGGAACTACCTCCAGATCAAGGATTTCTATTCTTGAACTCTTTAAACTCTAGTGTAAAACATTAACTAAATAGCGTATTATCCTCACCTGTGCCAGCTGTACTTCGAAATCTACAATGTCCTCCACATCTTGCTGAGCTGTGGCGGGATCTGCAAACCCCATGGTCTCTGCCACTCTGTAGATGAATGTCTGGTAGGCCATGAGCATAGTGTCATTTCGGGGGACCAGGTAGTACTTCTGACCCGGCATGCCCAAACCAGGCTGGTCTATCTGTATTAAGATAATAATAATAATGATTACTTTTTAAATATATTATCTGGAACCAAGTGGGAAAAGGCTTCTTTTTGCCGGGGAAGGGGGGATGTGTTCTTCATGTAAAAGATAATGCATCAAATATTTGATGCCAGTCAAGGAGAAAATACTTATCAAGTAACAACACCGGGGAATGTGAATAGTAATTATTTTCATCGTTCCAACAAGCTGAAATGTATCTGATGACACCATTGAAAAAAATTGCAAAAAATGTCTTTATTAAATATGGCACTGAACTCATTTTAATCCAATAAACAGGTCTCTTTACCTTCATTATGTGTACACTCGAATTTTTGTCGTCGACATCTGGATAGATGCCCACCAGGAGGCTAGACCCTTGTTTGGTGGCGTTAATTACGACGTCAGTGAGATCAAACGTGGCTTCGTTCCAAGATGTAGAGATAAGAGGAGAGTCTCCGATATTGGCCTTGAGCCAATCCTTGAAGTGTTGGTCACCTCGATTGTTCATTGTGTCTTTGAAAAAAGAAAAGAAACAACATTAAAAGCCTGAAATATATTTAACAAGATCTTTTCATTTTAATGCATCTTGGTCTTTCAGTCAGACAGTATCCAAAATGTCAAAGTCAAAAAGTCTGAGTTGTGACCTTAGAAAATTTTAAGAATGTTTATCTCACGTTGTATAGGCCTTCATGTAACCACATTAGATCCCAATGGCACAATCATTATGCTTTCAAAACAATAAACAAAGACAGAAATTTAAATGGGGAATATCTAGAAAATAAGTACTTTATTTCTACTTTGTCAAAATGCTGCACCACATATTAATATGTTTCCTCAGTTCTTTGATAACCACGCAATACAACAGGCGTTGCACTCGTTGAACTGATAAAAAGTTTTACTGGCCGTGATTTTAATACTTAACTTCAAGCGTTTCTTTTCATTTTTGGAGGATTGCACAAATAGCTAAAAGTTAAAAGTTACAATGTGAATATTTCCCCCTTAGAACCTACCCAGGTCAAGACAAGACTGGTATAAGTTTCTGGCGCTCGTCACCGCTTGGAGGTCATCACTTGCTGGCGGTTCCTCCAAGATTCCTAAAAAACAGATAATTGAGAATGTCTACTTTCCAAAACAGTTTATGTTTGAACCTAATAACGACGATATCAAATAATATCGTATATAAACCAGAGGACAAAGACTCCGGATCTTAAGTGAAAATAGTGAAATGACAAAAGTTTAACGCCCCCATGAACACTATCAGGTTATTTTCGAGGCGGGGCCTCCGAGTTCAACATCCATTCCCAAACTGACAGAGCCAAAATTAGATGTCAATGGTACAATAATTATTCTTTCAAAACAATAAACAAAGACAGAAATCTAAAAGGGGAATATCTAGAAAATAAGCACTTTTCTTTCCACTTTGTCAAGATGCTGCACCACATATTAAAAATTGTATTTGACAATAATAACGATAGCTCATTCTTTTGATTTTTGACGATGACCAAGACACCTGTAGAAAGGAATATTTCTCCTGCGATATATAGAAGACTTAGGAGAATTGAAGGTTAAGAAAACTTCTATTACATAATACACGTACAACGAGTTACGCAGTAAAGTGAAATGTAATTGGGAAGGGGGTGTCTACGGAATAATTCATTGCGAGATATTAACTCACTTTTTACTTTCCTGTTCACATCGGCCGCTACTTCTGAGAAAACGTCATAATAAGATCTGTCTTCTGGGATTTCATTATTCTTTAGCCACCCGCCGCAAGCAAATTTATAGAAGTCGTCACAAGGGTGCACGCTTGCATCGACGTTCTTCAGTATACGAGCCGCTGGGGATAAAATATGTTAGTAAGTATTAATAAATCAAGGGGTAAAAGAAGATGAATTTCAATAATAAGTAGTAGAGAGTTTTGCGTATCAAAAATCAGGAGGACTGTGCAAGCAGTTATAGTGGATATGAGGTACAGGAGACAGGCAGTGGGAGAGAGAGAGAGAGAGAGAGAGA